AAGATTTATTATATAATATATAAAATAGTAAAACTCACCTTACTTTTACTTTATCACTCTTAGTAGTTATTACTGCAAAAGGTTCAGATTGACTCCAATCCCAAAAGTGTATTTCATTGTTTGTTGCTATAACGAGTAACTTTTCAGATGGGTGAAAGGCAAGAGAAGCTATAACTGTCTGACTTTCAGCATTCCAAACCTTACTACTATCCTGTATCGACCAAATACATTATAAACAAAAGCCACTCTATCAATTTATATGTGCTTTTATATACTTGTTTTTATTCCATTTTTTTAAACATGACAAGATGGAAAAACTTTGTAATAGTTACTGTTTCTTTGGTTTTACTTCTACACAATAGTTGTTTATATAGAGCAAACAGAAATGTGTAAATGATAATACATTTAACAACATAGTTATTACTTAATGATTATCTGATAACTAAAAATGAGTTCTTTTACATAAAAGTTGATTACAAAAAACATTTTGAAGAATATCACAACTTCAAAATACCAGTATAATTTTTATTATTATACAAAATTACTTACAGTTAAATCCCAGACACGAACTTGACCACCAAGACAACCAGAAGCTAATATCTGACTAGAGGAGGGATGAAATGCAATACACCATGGAGTACGTGGGTGACCAGAAAGAATTTTAATGTTTTTTCCAGTTGCAACTTCAGTAATATAGACACTGTGGTTCCCATGTGCTGATGCCATTTTGGTACTAAAATGTAATGTCATAAGTTAATTTTGTAACATATAATTATTTAGTGGAACTTAGTTGCAACTAAACAATATTCTATAAAATTAATTTATTTCTTACCCATCAGGACTAAACACCATTAAAAATGTTGCTTTAGGAATTCCTGGCAGATCATATTCCTACAAAAAATTAGAAGTTATAAAACTGTTCATCTTTATTTAATTTATAAGGTATGATATAACTACCAATTCTTCATGTTTTTTCACTATTAAGTTTGTTTCAGCTATTGATTCTAGTTCACGTGTATTGGTTTTATAACAATTGTAATATAAAAATCCAAAATCTCGCAGCATTAAGTCTCGCAATATATTTTGAGACTGATTGCAATGAAGCAATTCTTGTCTCTTCTTGACTTTCCCCATTTAGCAAAATATCCTGTAACATTCATAAAAATTATTAGAATTAAACAAGTGGAAATTAAACTTCTTTTAATAAATATTAATATACAGAATGTGTTAAGTATAACAAAAATTGACATCATCTTTCACAACTAAATCTATGTTTAAAATTTATTTAAAACATCAAATTTAAAATCAACTTCAAAGTTATTTAATACATTTTTATGTGTGTACATACACCATAAACATAACATTAGACATCCATTTAAGGTTTCCATTTTGTATTCTTCAGATATTCAACAAGAACACATGTTACAATTCATAACTAATGATAATATAGTTCTATAAGTTAAACACATAGGTAAAAATACACTACAAGGTACTATGAAAAGGCTTTTTGCCAATAAGAACAGTCCTACATATTAAAATCAGCACTAAAAGTTATAACTTATAATTTCTGTTAAAGAAATATATAATGTGTTATATAGATCCTTTCAACTTATTTTTCTTGTTTTTAAGGCAAATATATATAAATAAAACAAAAATTTAACCTCTAAGTTCAAGATCAAGATTCATTTTTCAAATTTATATTGATTTAGGTATGAAGATTGATCTGTAAAAACTATAATAAAAATAAAATATATTAAACAATTTTTTTGTATTCTCTGCACACTATTGATTAAAATTATTTTTTATATAGAATATTTTCTGAATATATAAACATTTTTCTGCAATATAATGATATTACAAAATTATTTTCAAGATTTATTTCACTTACTCTACAAAATGATCTTTTACTCAAGGTAAAGAGATTGATAAGAAACTTGTGGAATGAATTATTTTACCAAGAAAATTTTACCTTTTATATTTTCATTGTATTTTTATAAGAAAATTTTTAATTAAATAGCAAAGTTATCTTAATAAAATTTAATTCAAACTTACATGAATTATGTTTGAACTATTTTTAATTGTATTTAACCTGAATCACCTGTTGCTTTCAGTAAATTTAATACAAAGTAATATGTTATTTGTTGTTAAATTAATTCGTGTTATAAAAAAACAGACTTTTTACCAACATTTTGATTTGCAAATTTAAGTGATTTAAATTACGTGTAATTATAAAGAGTGTATGTTGAAGCTTCGTATCGTCAAAAAAATTTTGCTAATTTATGGGTAATACTGCGGCAAAAATATAACAAAATATATTCAAACGTTTGTTCTTATTAAAAAATAACTCATTCCTTATCGTTCCCAAACGCTGATATATCTGTTGAACAGATAGGACGAGAGTCATTCGCAGATGCTTTATCCCGCTTATTCTTGACATATCCTGCACACTGTTCTTATTGAACCAGAATCAACATGTACACGAGATGATGTTTCTATTTTTGAAATAAAAACTTAATCTTCTTCAATTATGCGATCATAAAGTATTTACTTTGCTATATTACATGTACTTGTAAGGAGAAAAACAATTGTTTAATTAATTTACTAGATCCAGATTTAGGCTTAAATTTTTTGTATGGCTAATTAAATTATCCAAGTCGTTAAATAATTTTTTCTTCCTACATTCAAAACTTAAAATATGGCAGTCATTAGTTTCAAAATGTAAGTACTCTGAGTGCATCGATCTTTGCCAAATCCCTAGAACTAACCCAACACACAGCGATAGTGGTCCTATGTGAAATGGCATACGATACGTACGATATGGAATGGCGTTTCATAGAAATCGCACGCCATTCCACATAGGCCTACCACCTCTGTGCGTTTATATAGTTAGTTCTAGAGATTCGACAAAGTCGAAAGTATGCTTATATGTCCCGGGCGCACTGACTCAAGCAATACTTATGTTTTCCCAAATTCCGTAAATTCCCTAAAACAACTGATTGGTTTTGGCGGTAGTCACCAGATGTCTCACTATCTCTTTCCATTCTTCTCTAAGTGCTCGTTCCAGTCTTCATCTTTATATATACTATTTCAAATTCTAACAGTCTCAGAGTTTGAAGCAGGGATCGTCTGCGTCAGTTTTAATGTTTAGTCTAGCGAGTGATTCTTTGCATGTTTCCGCTCTAAGTAATGCACAGCTAGTACACCGGAGATAAGGCACAAGATTATCTCCTGTTTCTTACTATGTATATATGTACTTGCCTTAGGGTTGGGGACGTGACAAGAATATTTAGTAGTACAATCTTGATCCGCAATAAGGAACTCGCTATCTTCTCTTCTTTATTTAAAGTCGGCCGCCGAGTGAGAGGTCCATGAAAGCGAGAAGCCATAAATTTTTCCGATCGAATGAACAGTGACGTCGTTTAGTAGAAGATGAATAGAATATGTATACATAATGCATTCTCACTCTAGTATTAGCTATAGTGTGTTACACATATCTCGAGCCTCTCGTTCGTTCTCCGCGTTCTCTCGTCCCTTTCGAGAACAAAGTGAAGTTGAATAGCATACTTACCCGATCCGTAATAACTAACTGGCTGGTTCCGAGCGAGTTGCTTATTACGGATCAAAACTGTAGTCATTCATGACTATACGTAAATCATAAAATTCATTCATAAATAATGTGAAAATGAAACGAAATTGAAAGAAAAATCGGTCAGGTCCATATATTAATAAACTAACATTTGAAGCGGTTTGAATCTAAAATATTTCGGATCTAAACTCGCGAAGCGTTTGTTTATCAGACTAATTCTGTTGTAACCAAATTATTCAAGCTGTTGATGAATTATTTGAAATATGAGTCTATTTTATATTTAAGGTTTATTGTATTTATTTGAATTTATTAATTATATCCACATAGCAAATAAGGATTTCATATCATATGGAATCCGCTTCAGTGATTGATGAAGAACATAAAAACATGAGAAAGTTTATATAAATATATAACCCTATTCGAACGTTACTCCCAAATTATAACTATTTTTGTACCCCAATAAAGCTGGTATATTGATTGTGCTTAACTCTTTGTATACAATAGTTGATATCTTTCAACAAGTCTAAAATTTTTCAGGTTAGAGGTAGCTATTTCGAGCATATTAATGAAATAAATATTTAAAAATGGTATGGA